TCTTATTTCCCAATTCATTTCTTTTCTTTTCCATTCCTCCATTATTTCATTCTGCCTTTTTCTTTCCTTTTTCCATTCCTCTATTATTTCCATCTGTCTATTTCTTTCTTTTTTCCACTCGTTTATTTCACTTGTTAGCCTATCCGTTAAATCAGCTTTTATCTTTTCTAAACTCTCCACTTCCTTTGTACTTTTACCCTTATCTTTTTCCGCCGTTTCGCTTTCGAAAACCACACTTTTCTTTTCCTTCTCTGTATTTCCTTTGAATTCCAACATCTTTTGATTTTCCTCCTTCCTACTCTTCCCTAACCTACTCACTCTGCTTGTTTCTGTACCTCTTCCCGCCATAACCTCACCTTTTCGGCAACCTTTTCTCCTTGCTTTATCTCCCTTCCTAACTCACCACCTATCCTACCTTTATTTCCTGAGCTTACTCTACTACCTATTCGTCTAACTCTCGCCTTCTTACCTTATTTTCTGCTCTAACTACTTGCTAAACTTATATCTAATTACGTACTACAACGAACCCACGTACGCACACAATCACTCCTCCTAACCAAGTCCTAACTCGATATACTTACGTGCATGAATTAAATGTATGTGATATACAAAAGTAATAGAGTACACGCGCGGTATGTCATGCATTATGTACAAATCTCCTTGATCTGATTTCGATTTCCAATCCACAACAGTTGTAACACGAGAAATCGCAGAGACCCCGTTATGTCCTCTCTCGCAGATAACTTGGAATGTGATTACTTACCTTGAATAATAGATACTTTTATAATATAAACTGCGGAATATATATATATTCAATCTTTCCATCTCTTTGATCTTCCCAATTATCTTTGCTCCTTGAACAGGAGTACTCAGAGAGTACTCCGATTGAGAACATTGCTCTTTACTTTAATGTGACGTTTGTTGAAACAGTTCATAACAGTTTAGATATTTATTATACAGCAGATTTTATTTTATGTCTCTCTCTCTCTTTATGTGAAATTAGAACGAAAGAACACAGATGGCAAGTAATATAATTTTGTTTTTTATTTTCTAAAATATACATACTCCAAATCTTTTAAAGAATTTTCAGAGAATTTCTTCTTAAAAATAGTAAAAATCCCGAATCTGAAACAAAAAAGTAGTTTTTCTCACTAGACATCGCACTGTTATACGTTTCGTGATATTGTTAAATATAGATGTGTACTATTTCGAAAGAGATAGAAGTGAATAGAAAGAAAAAAGGTGACATTTGGCAATGTTTCAAAGAATAAATTTGTGTTGCGATAATATATGTTTGTGTGTTATCGCACGTTAAGAGAGCTCTTTTGAACTTGAGCTTTTTACCTAGAGCACTTTTACGACACATGCATTATAAGCCACGTGCGTCCGACGTTCCTGTTTGAACGTTCGATAAGATGAGCCACTCATCTTTCCATCCTCGTCCGGGAGCTATTAAAATAAGTGTTCGAACGTTTTATCTTTGACATTTTCACCAGTCGCTTCAGAAATAACTTTACAAACGGTTGGTTTTCACGTAGATTTTTTTTTTCATGAAAAATTGATCGTAAAATTATTTGCTACAGCGTTTTATACACATCTCGAATTTAAATTGAAATTAACATCTTAACAAGCTTAATATCAACGCTGTCGTCGTTCAAAACTACTTTTCAAGTTTAATCTGCCATTGAAATAAAAAATCACAAATAGAACAGTTGTTTAGAAGCCACATCACGATCACAGCACTTTGGTAATTCTCATTCAAGATGAGAATTACCAAAGTGCTGTGATCGTGTAGACATTTTGTGTAATTCGATCGCGCTCGTCATCATCCAAATCCTTTATTTACGTCTTTTGCATCACTGATTCACCGATAGCGGTTTCCATTAAACAGAACAATCGCTTTGTTCTTCCGACTGATGCGTCTTGAAACAAAGAATCAGAAAACAAATTATCATCACGGCTTTTCCTGAGATAAGTTCGAATTGAGTTATTCATATTCGTTTGTAAGTGTAGTTGGAAACAGACACACGTGTGTGCGTGCAATTCACGTGCTCAAAAACTTCGCGAGAGTGTACTTCATCACGCATCTGCCAAAAAACAATGTTTACTTTTTAAAGTTCATCGAAGACGCAAAAAACGAAAGTATGAGAAAAACGCGAATAACATAGATGAAATAACAATAAATAATTCTCCGTTGCGCAAGAATATCGTAAATAATTCATTTATACAAGCAAGTTGTTCTCCCCTTCATATTTTATACGCAGATATTCCGAGAATGACTTCCTCTCGCGCCGTGACTTTCCTGCCGGTTTTCTCACGCTTTTCTCTCTTACCGTATTTCTAGATTGCAACTTGTTTCAATAAGCGTCGAGAATACGCGCATATCGCGCGAAATCTCGCCGTCATATCTGCATTACCTCATGCATATAGTCGGTATAACGACCGACCCGTTTGCCAGTCGATATCGGCAAAGAGGTGAAAAATGAAAAAGAGGTCGTCGCGGATTTCCTTCGTACTAATATGAGTTCGTTGAATGCGCGAGTTTTGGTTCCGCGCGCCCTATCCCCGTTGTGCAAAATTTAAATTCATCGACTCAACGTATCCTCTTTCTCGGAAGAGACCTACGACACAAGAGAATCGCACGTAAAGGATGACGCATACGAGTTTACCTCGACCCCGACTCTTGGTCGAAGGACGAGAAAGGAGAAGCTGTGTGTTCTCTCGCGGGCAACGACTTTCTCAACCCGTTTCTGTTTCTCTCTTTCTCTTTTATACCGCTACAATGCGTTGGTCGGTCGGTCTCGGAGAAGCGGACACTCCTGGCATACCTCGCGTCTGACTCACTATACACGTTGATGATGTTTCCAGCGACAACGGCGGCGGATGAACAGAGCGCGTTTCGCCGATACGTCGTCGTCGTCGTCGTGCTCCTGCGTCGCGAGTCCACCGGCGCGACGTGTCGTCGGTGGATCCACCGTCGTCACCAAGGATGGTGAGCACCCGCACACCCGGTGGCGTCACCATTACGTCGTCATCCGCTAACGGCAGTGTAGCCGGTAACGGCGTGGCCGACAGCACGGCGTCGTCGCACGACGAGAGTCACGGCACCACCACGAACGGCCTGCTTGGCCAGGAGTGGAATCAGAACAGCGGCCCGCCGTCGCTATCGATGTCGGTCGACCTGCACAATCTCGTTAGCTCGAATCTCACGGACTCCGGACGATACTCCGCGAGCCCGGATCATCATCAGGCGGCGACGACGGTCGACGCCACCACCACCATCAAGATCGGTTGTCACGACGAGGAGGAGAGTTACGAAGGTTTCGGCTCCGTCGAGGGCGACTCTGTCGGCGACGACGGTCCGGAATCGCCGGGTGGTAGCAGTTCGGCACCCTCGCCAACTGGTAATTCTCACAAGTGAGTTGTTCGATAAAGAGTTCATCTCTTGGGCAATACCGTTTCATGGGAGATACTGATTAGGAGACACTGATTAGTGTTTTGCACAATTGTTTTTTTTTTTTTTTTTTCTCAATTCTTTTTATACAAATCACGGTATTTAACCCTCATTGAAATCTAGACAATTAGAACAAAGCGAGCCGGGTCTTTTATTATGTCAATTGCTTCCTGCCGTTATGCTCGCTCGATACGTAACAACACAAGTTTCGCGCGGAATGTAGCAGATTATTTTCAAAGTTGTACCAACTTTAATGCTAAAACGTTAAAGCGCATTATAATCGAGGCAATGGTCGCGCAATATTATGCGCCGAATGAGAGAAGTTTACGTAAGAAAATAACGCTGCACATAATGCTTATCACCTTGGGAACAATGCCGACTGACTTGCTATCTCTGTATACGCGCTAGTCATACAGGTTACGTAATAATGGAAATGTTTTTTAAAAGTCACATGTTGTATCCGAAGACGAGACGGATTCTCGTGTCGTGGAAAGAATTTTGCCTTCGCGTTACAAAAGAATTTTGCCTGCTTTTTGCAGGAATGAGTTTAACAATACACTTTTGTCACTAGCATTTCCGTTTTCTGACTTTGTATAGAAATCCGAGAAGCCCGAACTCCACCGTTGGGAGACATTCCTGGCTGCGTACGTCGTTGCGTAGAACACCACCCTGGTAAGAGAAAGAAAGAGAAAGAGAGAGAAAAACACACGTCTTTAATAATAATGAGAGTGCGCGCAAGTACACATGCATATAGATAATTTCCCGTCCGAAGAGAATTTCCGCCGTTCGCTCTTTTAAAAAGCACGACACAATGATGAACGCTTCGCCGCTGCGTGCGAAAAAACTCTCGTGGGAAAGCGACGAGACGATGTTAAATAACCGGTTTATGTTAATGCGACGAGTGCGCGAGATAAGAAACTTGTTCAAAATTTCTTGAGAATAGCTCTGCTTTTTGCAGAAACTTATCTTCGGCCATCTATGTGGGATAACGGAAACGAGTTCGTAGAACGACGGAATATCATTACATCCGAACGATCACTTCCTATTTTTCTCTTCGTCGGAGTTTATTAGTCGACATTCGAAATATATATCACATTTCGGAAACGGAAAATGGTTTAATTTGCGTTTTTTCAATAAATACTTTCTCGATCGCGCATCCGATATTTACTTTTGATTTAATTTTTCATAATACTTCGCAATGAATTCGAAACATCTGATGAAGATTGTAGAAAGCGAAATCTTTCTTTGTAACACAACACGTATGTGCACAAGCTGATTCAAATTATTGTATACGTTATACGTGCAAACTCCTGTAATTATTTCGCGCACATTGTTACGAACATTAGATAATTACATGTGCAAATGCTCCGCTCCGGAATTGTATAGTATGAAGCGATTATAATTTTTGATTGTTATTCAACACGCGACAATCATTCTACTTATGATGTAGATTAGCAATTGCACTTTGCCGTTCAATCAAAATCAATCAAAAAAAACTTTGCGAATTTCATACCTCTTCGTATATATAATTGCACGTAACACAACCAAATTACAACCAATTTATACAGTGTGATTTGGCTTGTGATCAAAGCTACTTTTGACCGTGAAATTTGGCAGTGCGATCACAGCACAACCGTGAAAACGTAACGAAACTCGCTTGAAAGTAATTCTTATAAATACGCATTTGTGACATATACGTGTATAAGATTTAAATATACATGAAATGTATATTAAAGAACGAATACACATGAAACATATATTTAAGGAAAATATTTTCGTACTTGCTTACAGTTCGGCTAGGAAGAGACTCAGCTCGAATGCATTAGCGAGGTGAGATTGTCCATATCAATTTTTCTAATTCGAATTATTCTATAAGAAAATTAATGATTGATAATAAAGGAAAAACTGTTTTTTTTATATAAATTAATTAATATTAATAACGACTCGATGAAACAATTAATAAAACAAAGAACCAGAGAACCCCTGTGGTCCAGGTTGAAGGTGGACGTTCAAATGTAAAAAGAGTTTTAAGTTTTTAAGTTACGTTATTTAAACGTCGACCTTCAACCTGGACCACAGGGGCTCTCTGATTCTTTGTTTTATAATTATATAAATTAATATTAAACCATTTTAACGATAAAGTTGAAGTTTCGCCCTGTAATTTTTGAAAAAAATTAATATTTCCGAGTGGCTATATGTTTTTTTTTTACGTGTGTGAGAAAGAATAATTTTTTCCATATCTCTTTTCTTATCTCTCGCGTGTTAATTGGATCCACGTACTTAAGAAGAAAAGAAGTAATTGAGACGAAAGAAGTTTCCGCCGTAGGATGATGCTTCTGCATCACCTTTCACGGAACTTGGATCGACGGACTTTCTAAAGCGTGGGCGTCCTCTGTTACGTTACTCATATTCTATGCGATTTGATATTCGCATTTCCTTTTACATTTCCTACTGTCATTACTTGGAGCTACGTGCCTTATTCGCTCACTAAAATGAGAAACTTCAACATTTACGTACAATGATTAGAAAAAAGAAGTAGTGCGTTTGCTATCGCGCTACTTTGGAAAAAGTGACGCAGTTTACAAATTTTTCTAAATTTAAGACTTTTACTATAATCATGTTGCTTTAATCGTAAATTCATTGTTTATTTATTTTCAAAAGTAATATATCTTTAGATAGCGTTTGTATAAAAAAAGTCGATAATTCTAAAAGAATTTTCTCCGGCATGACGTTTTTCAGCCAACTGTACCGTAGCGGTAGTTTTAACAGCACGGGAATGAGCTCGAATTATGATCCTGCGGATGAAATGTACAGCGACGTTTCCTTGGAGGATGTAATGGATCTCAGCCACAAAGTAAGCAATATATATGTGTACTTTGTTCTATTCACTTTTAAAGATCTAGTTGCGCGAATGTTCTTGAACTCTTATTGTTCGTTAATTTTTGATCATTTAAATTCCACGCGAATTTCACTTTTATATACGATTTACATGCTCTAAAAACGCACAAACGTCGTTAGATAATTTCACATGCAAAAAAAAGACAAATGCCTGTCACGTTGAATGTAATACGATGGCAACGTATAGACGTTAATTAAATTTGCAAGTAATTTGATCATCATCTTACGCCCACGTAAATAAAACGAAAACGATAAATAACCCGTTTAAATTACTTACGTATTTGTGACGAAACTCGAGCGGCTTGCTAGAAGCAATTTTATCGCAAAATCCAGCGAAATTTTATCACATGAAAATACGAATCGCAATCGCCGCAGCAGCAATCGAAACCGCTGACGAAATTCGCAACTCACATTCACGAACTATCGCAAGCAAATTTGATTTGGGAATTTTGCGACGCAGTTTTGCAAGTAGGAAAGAGACAACAACATACAACGCATGGCCTGTTTAAAAGCGCAATCCGATTTTTGGAATTTTTTCGAATGGTCAAGCTTGCCTTTTCTGAATTTCCTTTTGATCGTTGGATGGATCATCTACTTAGGATTTAACGCCTACAAGAAATGGTCAGAAGAAACGTGATCTCCAATTTGATAAAACGGTCAGTCTGTGCTCACACGTTCCTCTAACAAACACGTATTTTAATGCTTCGTAAATTTTCAACAAGATCAAATCAGTGAAATATGTGTTGCATATTGGATATTAATATTATTAAATAGTGAACATAAAAATTACAAAAATTATAATTATATAAGATGTGTGAGATCGTAATAATTAAATATATATAGTATCTATATAAATAAACTATTAGTATCTATAAATATCTATATATATAGTATCTATACATAAATCGTAATATATAAATATTATATTACTATATATTAAATATATATAGTATCTATAAATAAACAAATATATAAAATTGAAATAAAGCACGCAACGTAATCTTTAACGATAAATTTTTACGCTCGTAAGTAGCGTAAATACGTCACACTTGTGAGCGTTTTTTATGTAAATGTGTAAACGGGACATTCGCCGATGTAACGTTAACGTGCAATACGCGCGCTGACACGCTTGCGATGATGTAACAACGACCGGCAAGAAACGAGTTATCATCATCCTCGACGGGTCTGGACAACATTAGTTGTCCGATGTACACACGACATCAGGTCATCGCGGAACGCGAATCGGAGTCGAATACGTGTTTAGAATAATTAGGGGCGTATGTGTTTTATCGCGAGTGCTTATCGACGGTACGGACTTATCGTCTTACATTGCACCAGTTCCGCAAATGCACCGACTTCGATTAGAGGGAACTATATATATCCCGAACTTATACACAGAGTGTCATAGGGTATGCTTTCGATACGTTAGATTTTTAAATAAAACAGTAATACAAAAGCTGTTGTGCTAAAAAAAAAAGACAAATCTGCTTGTGTCAAATCTCAGAAAATTTATTACGGACGTGAAATATTCATGTGGAATATTTTAGCAGAATTTTTGTTACAATTTTCTGCGCCGAGAAGGCACGGGAAAATAAACCTCACGATAAACGTCGCGACAAATATAGAAACCGTTGTTCGAAATGACTATTGGAATGTACGCTAATGGAAATTACATCGATTTCCGCTTCACCTGAGACAGTACGTATTATGTGCCGACAACATTCTTGTCGCAAATATCACAGGCGAGAAAAAAAAAAGCAAGAGCGCGAGGACTAAGGTTTGTTCGACGTAACACTTGTACGCGTGACCGTCTGTGCGTCAAGTCGGATTGGAGTTAGCCGACACGTGGCATATGTGCAATGCACACAAATAGCACGTCGACGACTGCTACTCCCCAGATTCCCGGCCCGCGATCGGTGGGCGATCGCAGATAGAGCGAGAGAGACGTATATCGCACGGAACGGACACGCGGATAGCGAAGAGACTTGGAGAGAATATATATTCCTGGCGCGTAGAATCGCAACAGGACGTGGTGGAAGTGTGCGCGCGGTTGTTTCTCGCGCTGAAGAAAGCCTGAAGTGCATTTTCGATGCGTATTAGCGCGGCGCGGCCGCACGTCGCGACGCGGGCGACGGTGACGGCGATAACAAAGACGAAGAAGAAGACGGCGACGACGACGACGACGACAACGACGACAACAACAACGGCGGCAGTGGCGGCGACGACGAAGGAAATCGCGCGGGGATGACGAAGTGTGCTCGAGATAGAGGCGATGACGTGACGCGATAAACACGACGGCTGCGAAGACCGACCGCCGGCCCCGCTACCGAAGACACCGATTACGCCGCGCGGCGCGCGATGGAGTTGAACTTTTGCGAGGAGGAGACGATCGATCCGTACGATCGCGACGGCCGCGCGTCGCTTTCCGGGGAGGGGCCGTCTTCCGGACCTGGTGCCGGTCTGGAGTATGATCTGTGGGAGGGCCAGTTCCAATTCGTGGGACAGCAACCGCTGACACCGCCGCCGCCACCGCCACCGCCGCCGTTGTTGCTGCGCAGCAACGATCGACACTCAACTCGTCGCCGTGGGCCTCCTCGGCTTAGCGAGCAAGTAAGAGAGAGAAATGTATTTCCGGTGCAACGCGGGAAATCGCAAATGACAAATTACTGGAATTTTAAACCTCAAAATTTCGTTGCGAATTACATCGAATTTGTTTAGGAACGCGAATTTTTATTGCGTATTTATTACGATATAAATTTATACGTAGAAAATTATTTTCGCGTGTCTGCGCGTATAGCGGAACACGACATCCAAAAATAAATCTGTGTAAATTCCACATTAGAAATATATATGTTTCGCAAGTTTGCTGGCAAACGTTCGTCATTCCGTAAATGATTAAAAATCATCAAAACATAATACCAAGAACGTTGAGAGCTTTATCGATTCGATTATCTTTATTGCGATACTTTTCAATGATGATCCCCAATGAGGTAATAGCGAATAACGCTTTTGTTGTAACATATTGTTATTTTCGTGCGAGTGTGTGACAGCAACTGTGAAATTAGTCGAGTGATGAGAGATCATAAAGACACTTATCGTACTTTCATCAGCTTCAGCGAAACAGATTTTATTGAATAAAAAAGAGACGAGAAAGCGAGCGCTTTTAGGCTGCGTCTATCTTTTTTCATTGGCAGTTTTACCATTGATATTCGCAATAGCGTAGGCACGCATGCGGAAGAGGTGGGTAACGCAACTCCCAATATATATTTTCTCCACGCGCCTACGTGATCTATAGCTAGCATTAAATTTATTTTCACTTTCGATCGATGGCTTGTAATCTTTTCGACGGCCGACATCTCTCGATCCATTTTATATCTTCCAACGAATATGTATATATATATATATATATATATATATATATATATCACGAAACGATTATTTCATGCTCTACTTATTGCTCGTTATTTATTTTTTTGAGTATATTTTTAAGCAAAATTGAGAAACTTTCCGCAATTTGTACGAACGATTCGCTCTACAGACGCTCGGGAGTGAAACAAATCCACGATTCTCATGGTGTGTTTCGCGAGATGTTAAAAACTTCTTCCGTTTGTTTAATGCCGCAGGTTCAAATGATTCAGGAACAAATGGATGCTTTAGCGGACACTAAGTCGGTCGGTGAAGAAAAATATGCTCGAGCGAAGCAAGAAAATGCGACGCTACAGGCGCGCATATTAATGTTGGAGGAAGCGGCTAAAGATGCGGAAACAAGAGCCGAGGAGAGACTTCAAGTGAGCATTCCAGTCGTAGTTAAATCAAATTGCGTTATTCGTCAAATAAAAAATATGTTTTATATATTGAACGTGTCGTGTGTTTCAACTTTCGTCATTGTTTTGCATCTTTGACATGTTTGTTGTTTTCTTTTTTCGCAGGCCGAACAACGAAGGCATCGGGAATGGGCGAGTCGTTTGGAACGCGAGCGTCAGTTGCAACTGGAGAATTATGCCATCAAGCTGCAAGCGGCGGAACAAGACAACTCCAGTCTGCGAGACGAGATCGCGCGAGTGCGCGAACAGCTCGAGAGAGCCAGGGCGGACAAGACGCGGCTGGAGAACGAACTCCAAGAAGCCAGGAGAGAAGCGGACGTGGCGCGCGAAAGTGAGCGTCACGCGATAAGCCGAGCTAACGAGGCTCATCATTTGCTTGACGCCATGCGAGAGGAACTTTCCTTACGGAATGAGGATCAACAAAAACTCGAGGAACTGATACAGCAAATAGCGGAGCTTCAAGCTCGTAATAAAAGTACGTTCCGCTCCATTAATTACACCTCCACACAATGAACTATTAATCGAGTGCCTGTCTTTTGTCTTTAAATATAATAATAACGTCAATTTATAGGCTTGGAAGAATCTCGAGACGAACTGCAGGCTGCCGCGGCACTGCAAGCAGGTCGTGAACTTTTAATGTTGAATCCGTGCAATAACAACGCCGAGAAAGGACCCAGTCTCGCTGTAGAACTACTAGCCGGCATGAACTCGGACCAGGTAATATATACAGATATATTCCGCTGTGTGTAAATTATACGAATATATAAATACCAGTCTTGCAAACAAAATATCGCGAATACTAATATAGATTTTCTAATCACTTTGCAGACAGATGGCCAAGAAATCGGTGAGTTCGGCGAACCATGCACGATGGCTGAAGTACGTATTAGAACAATTGAAAATTGTTCTTTTGAAATACTGTTGTGTGTATTCAAATCAAAAGTTTTTGCACAATGGGTTTGTTTAATTTTTCTCTTCATCATAATGTTACAGTTAAAACAAGCTCTGAAAGAACAGCAAGAAGTGAACACGCAATTGCGAACGTACATCGACGGAATATTACTAAACATTGTGGAAAATTATCCACAATTGTTGGAAGTGAAGCAAACCCACTGAAACGTAGCGTGCACTTTAAACGTATAATTTCTGTTCCGATACTTTCAAGAAGATTGTACATTAATTTTCTTCATGTGAAATTGAAGAAGATTGCAACTCTTTAGAAAATTTTTGTGAGGCCGATATTTAATTATATATATCGTTTACGTGAAGTGTGTACACACACATACACATATATATATATATATATTGTAACAAAAATTTTAGCGCGCCAGATTTACTTGCGAGAGAAAAGTAAATCGATATGATGTTTAGCTTATTCAAGATGATGCCTGATTATAACATATGGAGTTTTCGAAAACCCCACTTAGAAAACTAGGAAGAACTTCAAAGGAAACATTAAATGTTCTTTAGATGCGTTACCCTAAGATCGAAATGTGCTCATTGCCAACAATTTAGCTCAAAACACAGACGATCTGTACGATTAAAGAAATGAGTTTTGCACGTTTCGTTATGATGTTTCCGATACTTCAAGCCAATATACTGCCGCTGTTACTATTTCTCGTTTTTTCATCGCGCAAGTTTGATATTATCAGAATAGCTGTTGTTGAATGTTTTTTTTTTTGGAAATGAATTCCGATCGTAATAAATTTCGCTTAGATTTTGTCGTTCTATTGTCGACAACAAAGACAAGAACTTTCGGAACAAGGTACACGATAGCTATCCAAGATAATGAGCGAATCTCGACTTATTTTTGGGACTTTTCGCGCGTCGTCGAAAAGCTCTTCTACACATTCGTTATGTATAGCTATTGTTAAGATATTTGTGTGTATGTTAACGACAGTGCTGTTTAAACGAATATGTGTATGTCATAAATATAACAGCGGAGATGACATGACTACGCTACATGTCGTAAAACTGTGATGCGTTGTAAAGTACCTTTTAAATTAACAATTTAAGATATGTTTGCGTGTCAGCAGAATCACTGCGAGTGCACCTATAAAAATTTTTATAAATAAAAATTGTATTCTAGATCTTTATACCGAAAGTTATATACAAAATAGTAAAATTGCAATTAAAAATGATTATATTTTGATACTTGTTGTTTCTTTTATTTTTCCTCCCCTTGCGACAAACAATTATTTTCAAATATTTTCATGCAAAATATTTCGTAAAATTGTTTTTGAAATGTGAAAAAAGAAAAAAACTCACCGCTATTTGATATATTTATAAAAAAAAAAAAAACAAACAAACAAGCAATAGTTTTTGTATAAAATTAAAAATAGAAAAAGTCGTGATCAATTTTGTGGGCAAAAATTTGGATTTTTGTAATACCGTTCATTGCAAATTATTATGGAGTTTTTTTCCGATATTGATAGACATAACCTAAGTGGCACTACACGAGAGCGCGCCAGGATCGCAGCAAGAGGGGGGAACCGCTGAGCCCACGATCCTCGAGGAGCAGCAGAAGCGTGCGGACGAGGAGTTCAAATGTCGTGTTGCGCGCATCGCCTACGTCTGGCCAGAGATCCGGATAGATCGACTTCAAACCTGCCCGGTCGATCGGCCACGCATTGAGTACGCGCTCTGTCGGTCACGAGTCGTTTATGCACCTGCCAGTTATATGTGCTTCGCGATATGACAGTTTAACGACAAAATCTGTTACGTTCCGGTTGGCGCAAACGCCACAGAAATACATGTAATTCCGCGTGCATTCTGTGTTTTACATATGTTACTACATCCTTGCGATGTAACCTTATTCAGAGAATATTTAATAGATTTCAAGATGTAAACATGTGCCTAAACTGAGTTATAAATATAATTTATCGCGCTCTACTATCTCACACGTACTATCTTACACGTAGTTTCATAGAAATGTGTATAAAGAGAAAAGTATTTATCTTAATTGCTTAACAGATAATAGTCTGTTGAATTTTGATACTACAAGTGATTCAACATCTCAGAATATGCTTTTGCTTATTTACAGATGACACAGTGTGGCTAGATGATGGTAGAGAAGTTTATTAACAAAACGGCATGCTTGTAAGATACTGGCTGCATACTGTCACGTGGGATGAATGAGGAAGAATTGTTGAAACGGTCTGCCGCAGAGCGCGATAGGATTTTCAGCTGCTATGATCGTGGCAGGGAAGGTGCTGAGATTGACCCTTGGGAGGATCCCGGTTATGAAGTCTATCATACTACGGATAGATATGGATTTATACAGTATGTATCTTTTTATCTGTAAAATTGTCCAATTACGTGTATATATATATATATATATATATATATATATATATATATATGTAATTAGAAAATTACATATATATGTATGTAATTGTAATTTTCTTTTTTTTATATTAGCGATAAAAGATTACCACAGAAGCGGGACCAGTATGAGCTCAAATTGCATAATGTGGAGATGGAGAGATTAAAAAAATGGGAGAAGATGACAAAACAGTGGGATAGTGTTTCAACCAAGGAAAAACTACGTCGTAGAATATATAAGGGGATTCCTAATAGATTTCGCGGTCAAGTATGGGCCTTGCTTCTAGGTATTAAAAATTTAAAGAAGGAACAGGCAGGCAAATATGAAGAGATGCTGCAGCTGGCTCGCCAATGGTCCACAGAAATACGACAGATCGATGCCGATGTTGCCAGACAATACAGAGATCACATTAATTATAGGTATAAACACATATTGATACAAAGTAGTGTAAGTTACACACGTCTGGCAAAAATATTAATACACTTATCACTTTTTCAGAGAGAGATATAGCATAAAACAGAAATCCATGTTTTATGTACTAGCTGCCTATAGTATGTACAATATGGAGGTAGGATACTGCCAAGGAATGTCTGTGCTAGCCGGTCTGCTGCTGCTTTATATGGACGAAGAGGATGCATTCTGGGGCCTTTCTGTGTTGCTTGCCGATCAGAAATACAGCATGCACGGTTGGATTTTCCTTCTACAACTAATACTATAATACTTCATTTTTTGTAAATAATATACTTACAAAAAAAAAAGAAAAGAAGAAGATTAGTAAGAATAGAAAATTATTAAAAGAAAACATATACGACGCATATTTTTCACATAACATCAGCAAAGAATAACACATATTCTCTCAAATGTTAAAGGTTAAATCAATCGTGTTTACCAATCTGTGAACAAAGTATTAATATTTGTTTAATATCGTGATATTTATACATCGATTGTATTTTACAGGCTTTTATGTTGATGGATTTCCAAAATTAAATCGCTTTATAGAGCACCATGACAAGATAATGAACAAATTCTTGCCCAAGTTGAAACGGAAGATGGACAAGTGCGGATGCGATTCAATACTTTATGCGTTGAAGTGGTTCTTTGTCGTTTTTCAGGAGAGAGTAAGTTTTTTTTTTCTACTGTATATACTTTTATACATCGAGTGATTATGTAACATACTAAATATTGTATCCATCTCGTTTCAGACACCTGTGAGTCTTGGTCTCCGTATTTGGGATATATTTTTGCTAGATGGTGATCGCATGTTGTCAGCGATGGCGTACACCGTGATGAAGCTGCATAAGCGTTACTTGATGCCAATGGAAAGTCTTGATGAGTTTTGCAATTATTTGCAAATCAAATTGGAAAAGGACTTCTGCTTCGACGATGACACTGTGATCAACACGATGGAACGCAGCATGGAAGAGTTAAAGCGTGCCAAATTAGACTATCCAGGTTCTCCATTGCCGCACGAACTGCCCCGTTATCCATTCGGCACCTTCAAAGAACCATCTTTCACCAGTAAGGTACTGAAAAAAAACGCTTTTATTTGCTTCCATTTTTTTTTTATCAATAACACGATTTGAATTTATTCTTAATTTCCAGTGCTGGATATTTCGTTAAATAATTTCAAAAATGTTTGAGAAAGATTTTATATAAATTTTCTAATCTAATATTTTTCAGCTAAAAATTAAAATTAGACGAAAAAAATAAGATTAATTTTTAACGACTGTGCAGAGATCAAAATAATGAGATAACAGAAAAAAATGTTGGAGGTATAATTCTTTCGATGATTTTGCTAAATTACGATAGCATACGACCTACTCTTGATTTCATTCGTTCAGGTTGGAAGACGAAGCGAAGAATTTAGCGAAGCTCAGCACGTAATGCGAGAGTCCGTAGCGCAGCGCAGGGACATGGCACTGAATGACGACGGCAGAGAGAGCACTACACCCATAGAACCGACCAGCAATCTTGGCGGTGAGTTTAAAGGTAGCCGCGACACATTACACGATAATAGCACAGACAGTACGTCGCGCGTCGAGCACGGCAGCGATTCCGAGGACGAGAGCGACATCGATACGAACGTTGTCTACAACACTAGACTATGAGCGGAGAAAAAAAGCGATGCTCTTCGTTGTGACAGTGATAAACTTCGCGGCGCGAATCAATTTTGCTCAATAAAGTTTGACAAAAAATGTCGAATATAGTTTGTAGAGAATCTTTTTGCAGGAAGCCTTTGTCACACGATATTAAGCATAAAACTATGTTTTGTAAAGTAGTTTGTAGTTACAAAAAATAATTTATATAATAGTTGCATTCTATGTAAAGATGCATCGGAGGATTCAATAGAATATTTTTTTATAGTGTTAAGTATTATATTGACCGTATTGACCTCTACGATTATGCTCTGGATCACATCTAAGTCGGAATGTCGATCTTTCATGTTAATTAGATGTTTACTGTGTTACAAATGCATTTTAAAGATGCGCTTAACTCAGGATTGTCTAACTAATGAATACTCTTATAAACATTTATCATTTTTTCATATGTTTATATTTAATAAATGTGTCGAAATTAACTACAAGTCAAGTCTTATATGATTTAATATAAACACACTCTATCCATGCATGTGAATCAAACGATCCTGTTCTAATAACAAGTTTTGTTTACTAATAAAACTGGACAAAAGCATCTTCCTTGTGTGTGTATGTGTGTGTGTGTGTGTGTGTATGCGCATGAATAAAATATTAGATGTTTTTGCGCGATTATTATCACAAGATCACTAATTTTTAATACTAAAACTATCATTGTGTTAATAATTTGCGCTTTAATAATTTTCAATGTGTATTTTAAATTTCATTTTTTTCAAAATTTTTTGAGCCGATTTATTACTGAAAAAAATGAAAATTATTTGAACAATTTTATATTTATTTTTATATCTTGTAATAATTGATTGTGATAAATCTTCATTTTCTTACTGAGCCATTTAAATGTACCAGTAAGCTGTATATTATCTCACACATTTTCAGAACTTTGACTTTACTCAGGCTCTTTAACACAGACTCTGTGTTCCCAGGAAGCAAATTCTCCTTCGATCCAAGTCTTGAAGAGGGCACGTCTCCCAACGGCTCCCGTAGATCGTTAGCCGAGACGTCGGTGACATCGACTGCCGATCTTTCGGTATTTAGCTCGGCAACGCGTTCCCAAGCATTGGATAATAGTCTGGATACTCAAAGCAATATTTCGAACGCCAGCTCGGGTAGTGGCGGTTTGCCAACACCGCGGGCCACGCCGCATCAGCCTAGTCCTGATATCGTGCGCATTTATGTGCCGTATACGTCACCGTCGGCGGCGGCGTCTTACAAGGATGACCTACCGCGCACGCTGCCACGCTCCCTGGACACAAACAAAATTCGCATTCGCGTCGATCCGGACCAAACGCCCATCGTCGAGAATCTGAAACCGTTCTCTCTGGAAAGCCCGGAGGTGGAACTGGACTTGAAGTAAAGTGAGTCGACTGAACCATAAGCGTGTGAGCAGTTAGTATGTGGGAAATGAAAAAAAAAAATTACATACTACGTATCGTGAAAAGCATATACGCAGACAGAATATTTGAGAAAATTCACGCAGATCTAGTAGAAAAATTTTATGACGTTATATTAATTGTATTTTTCTCCGTCAACAGATTTTATGATATGTTTATTTACAATAGCATATATAAACATTAAAAATAACTAAGTCAATAAGTAATTTGAAGGAACTTGCACATTTTCTTGTATAATAAATAATTTATTTTATGGAAAGAGAGAAATTGTGTAATAACGCAAAGCGTGATTTCTGATATACTCTGTGTATGTGTGTATACACATGTGCACATAAATCGTACACATACCATCGAAAGAACAAATGACAAATACGACAGCTATTATATTAAGTCTCAAAAGATTTCTTTATAGAAAGAATGTCAATTGAAGAATTAGAATTTAAAAGCGAGATAAAAAAATATTAATACAATGTACCGTTTTTAGAATGTAATCTTAATATTAATTAATAACGTAATCTTTGATATCTGTTATTCTTATATATACAAATTACATTTTAATTTATAAAAAGAAATAATTAAAAATTAACTATATATTTCAATCTTAGAATCGGTAGAACTATGATTAACTACATTCCTATTTACGCAAAGATCATATTTACAAAAAATCAGAGATATATTGTATGTATTTCAGTTTCAAAAAATTAAAAAAAAAAAAAGAGACAAAGATTGTAACATCTCGGTTTAGAAAAAGTTAAAACAACGCCGCATTGTGGCCTAATTTATGTTTCATTGACAGCTAAACATTTGACATATATTGCTTTACTTATATTGCTCATTGCGTCACGCGTTCGTATTTGTCACAATCGCATATTTCCAATTAGCAGTGGTTTTGATCTCCTTGAGAAAAAAAAAAAAAATAACCATCTGACAAGATTTGTGACAACCGAAGTGTCAATAACATTGTCATGATATTTTGAATTGCTAGAAGATTTAAATCGTTGTTTTTGTGTACAAAACACACGTGTACCTAGAGACAAATTCACTTGTTTAACGAAACTACTGTTTGAACAATAGAGCTCTGTTGATAAATAAAAAATCACTGTAAAAATAATATAAATCCCGTTAAGCTAATATTGGTAAAAATCTTGCAATATATTTACATGAAAAAATAGATTTGTCTCTAGAAAGAAACAGTCTGTCAAAGAAGAGCGTATCTCTTCAAAGCCAGTGAACGAATTTATTATACGATTTTTTCTTTTAAGAAAAAAGTCTACTACTTTTATCTACTGATATATTAAGTATTATGTGTACTGCCTTTGTAATGCATGCAACATGTCATTTTATTTTATTTTAAGCTATGTGTTCTTTCTGTCAATTTTTTGTTTTTAATAACTTGTAAGAAATATACTTTTGTACATACGCATAATATTTAAATGAAAAAGAGGAAGTAAGACTTTATGTCAAAGCAGTGAGAGAAACTCTTCAAATATTGAGTTTGAATTCTTCATTGTGGAATGTGAATATTGAACAGCTTCAACTTACTATATACAATCTCAAGAATATTTGCATTATTTGACTGTGAAACATCGTGTTTAAAAACATCGTGTATTTCTTTCTGCTTTCGATTTCGCCAACATTCCCGAAATGCGCGTAGTATTTTCTCGATGTATATAGTTACTATACAAATAGAGCCTAACACGTTATCCCCATGCGGATTCGGCAAACAAACAATTGTTATACTTATTAATAGTGCATAAGAAAAAGCGATGTTAATTGAATAAATATTAAATGTTGATCGTCCGGATCTTTATCATGTTACACAAGAAAAGAAAGAACAAGATTGATAGAGAATTTAAAAAAAAAAAAAAATGATCTACTATAAGTTCCTCTCGTCGATTACGTATAACACGATTCGAAACACAGTTGTAACAACGACAGCCTTATATGTTTTTCGATATATACTATACATATACAACGGGAATTTCAACTTATGCAATAAAAAAAAATCTTCTCAGACTTATCCAAGTTTATATCTCTCCGTTTTTTTACGGAGATTCTTATCGACAATACAGAATGATACGATTTTCTTCATAATCACGACACTGACATTCCATCGGACATAAAAAGTGTAGATACTAAAAGAATGTTAAAAATAGAATAAATAAAGCGCTGATCGATGTTGCAACGCGTTCGTATCGTACTTGCTTGAGAAAATCAAATTTGATATATAGTCAACCAAATCTGTAAAAAAAATTACATAATATATTAAATAAGAAATTTTACAAGAACATATATATATAAAAAGAACTGTAGTACATTGAATTAATTAAATAACTATTAATTAAATACTAATAGCTGTTCTGATAATGCCGATATCTAGCACGTAGTTATGAATCTCACTGTAAAACTCGAATATAAATTTCCGTTCCCGAGAATATATATTATTCACGAATATGGTTGTACATATAAAATTTGATAACTGATGTGTGTGTCGTTAATACATTTTATCGATAAACATTCGGATCTTTGTTGTGTATGCGCAACACAATTATATTTGTTTTGCGTGATCAAGTAATTTAGTTTTTAAGAAACTTTTCTTCTTTGTGTAAGGACAAAGCAATATGACTAATTATTACTGTGTTTGACCGTATGAACAATAAATGATATATGACAAATTCCTTATAGATATATATATATGATAAAGCAATTTAACATATTATACAGAAAGAGATGAGAAGAGTACAATTACTTTATTATTGAGAGTGTGTGAACATTGTTAGGTTTATTCAAGTCTAAAAATACTTTCAGACATCGAGAGATTTATATCTATCTTGAATAGATTTTAATACAAATAATTTAAGTGAAAAATCATCATTATGCACATTGATTATAAATATACAGCGTACCCTAAAATTACTCTTTACTTTCTACCGAGTTTTTCATTTTTTTCTTTCTCTTTTTTTTGACAAATGCATTTATGTATGTGCGTGTGTGTGTGTATGTGTATGTGTGTATAAGCAAAAAGATACGCTAGAGAATTTGTAAGAATTCAATTTTCACAATTATATTATATAGTCTTTAATTTATGTGGTTTTACGAGAATTTAAATTGTCTGATGTATAAAATGTGACGAATTGAATTCTAAACTTACTTTATGTAAAGTTATTGTGAAAGTTTAATATATAGCCGTGGAATACAATGTATATTTTCTGTTCATTATTCACATTCAGCTGATTACTTTTGTGCAGGCGAGCTGTAGTTCAAAGACAATGCCTGGAGAAAGAGCAAGTGTATGTACAAACACTCCTAAGAATGTTAGCGCAAGTCGATATTGTTTTTATACGCGTATTAAAGGCGGAATAAGTAGCTTAGACTCTCGTGTGTTATCGTTCTTCTTTATAGGACACAAATTACATATAGGAAGACGTTTACACAATTCGAAAGATGCAATACTCATTGAAATTTTATTGACGCGAAGCGCATACTGTAAGTCGATTAATTGTCAACAATAAAACAATAAAGTCTAATAATTGTAAACATAGCAAAAAATACATCTCGCTTCTTCTAGCATCTCCTTTTATTGTGCATTACGGAGTTTATTTACAAGATATTGTGAAGAGATCTGATCCATGGTTTCAGTCATTGTTTTGAGCCTAATGTTTAACTTTGAGCGCAGTCAAAGCTATAAAATGTATAGTCAGTTTTTATCACAAATGTACATACTGAAAGCTATATTGATCGTGTCTCCTACACATAAAGAACTCTATGATTTTCCTGTAGAAATTCGTTGCCATCAAACTTTCTTTTCTTTTTCTGCCTTTTCCTACATAATATGTATATATATATACTATACGTTACATAAATAAAAAGTGAAACTATTGGTCGACATTTGTTTGACTTGTAACAACGAAGTTTGGCTTATTTTGCTTTGTAACAAATTTACTCACTTACTTGAAAAACTCATTAAGGACTAGGCTGATAGAAATTATCACCCATAATTGGTATCAGTTTGCCATTCAATAACATGTGCGGTCCCGTGTAATAGCGCCATAACATGCTGCTCCCTCGTTTTAGCTGGTTATGCGCCGACAGATGAGCCCAACAATGTACCCAGTTCTTGTAAACCGGCATGTGCGGTGGTAGGCCGGCCATCAAACTTGAATAAAAAACATTATTTTTAATTTTTACTATACAAGGTTATTTTACAAAAATACGGAAAGAAAAAAACACCTTATCTTTCTTATCTAATCTTTATTAAAAACACTTATCAGAGTTTACTTACCCACAATTATTTACTGCCATGCAATGTGACACTACCAAAAACGGATATGTAGCGGTAGTGGCTAGGAACTAAAAATTTAAGAGGCACATAAAATAAACTTGTGTGAAAAGTTATCAAAACTTTTAAAACACTATAACGAAAGTTCAAAAGCACAATTTTATTATTCTAAAATGTCGGTTGTGCTTACTATTGTTAGTGACGAGGTATATGGTTTTATCGTCTGCTCCTGTATAACATAATTATTTATAGCGTATGTAGATACACCAGCTATTAAAATAACTGCAGCACTTCCTATGATGCGTGGTACCACTCCCGCATAATATCCTAATATTCCATTTTCTCTGTAGATTTCCAACAATGATCCCAACAGACTACTGCTTGTAAAAATATAAAACTTTAAAAAACTTATCTAGAAAAAGATGTTTTACATATAGTTCATGTATTTGATGTACCTATATTGCTTCTCTCCGCCAACAAACTGTGCCATCATTCTTAATGAAACAACTTCCAGAGGATGACTGACTATGATTGCAACTGTCCTACTGATTATATCCCATATAATTTCTCGCATACATTTCTTGCATCTACAAACAAGAGTAATTGCATTCATATATTCATGTATTATTATTATTATATATATTTTTTTAATATGTACCTAACTCTTTCATCTTCCTCATCTTCATTATTATCTTGTGGCGAGTTCTTCTGCAAATACTCCAAAGTTTTGTCGCATGCTACTATACTAACTGTATAGGAACATAACTTTGGCATCAAACCTCTGTAGCAACCCGTGAAACCATCTACATTTTTTATATGTTTAACTGTGAAAATAATGTGTATAATAATTATGTAAAATACAAATAATATAAATGCAAAATAAAAATATCAATGTGGTAGTTATATTTTGAAGTTATAAGTTAATATAGTTATGTATATTATCACACAAATAATATATATCTGATTGTAATTAAGAATTTAACATATATATAAGAAAAAATTCTTAGATTTAAAGTTAGATACTTACTATATGCAAAGACATTGGGCAGTTTTAGTGCAGGTTTTCCAAACAATGTTGTAGTTGGTTTTGGAGGAATAGGTTCATAGCCAAGCTATAGATTTTTTTACAAAATAAATACATATAAATTGTCTTTCAAAAAAACATTGATTGTTTATAATTAATAAATATATATTTACTTGTATTAGAACTTTGGCATATTCAATAGGATGACAGACTGCATTCATTAAAATGCGGCTGGCTACATCCGACCACATAACTGGATCAACATTTCCTGAATTTGACTTCTGTGACATTCTTGTTGTTCTAAATCTTTTCTTATCTAGAAAAAGAAATAAGAAAACAAGTAGAGCATATAAACAGAGCTGATAAAAAAATTTATTTGTCAAAAATATGAAGTTTTTTTTTAACGTGAAAACTTGCCAGTTTCCATCGTTTGGAAGCTCACAATTTAATATCACATCAAAGTGCTCCTTAATCCACTTTCGCAAAAATTTCTCGTTGTTCTTCTTTCAAACCGAAAGAGATTGTTGCTGACGGGAATTCAAAGTTAATCGTGATTAATCGTGATCTCCCAGCAGTCCTCTACTGGGAGATATGACAATTATAAATCTGCAATTATTTCCGTTCAAGAGCACTTCATTCAAATGTCGAGTTTTATATTAACACTTCGATATACGACCGCGTGCAACAGGAAATTTCGCGCGAACTTGTTTTTTAAGAGAAAATATTCGTGCAAAGTCATTTACTAATCCTCGCATTTACTTCCATTCACTGCCGCCACGCGAAAACGACGATTAGTTGAAACGACCGTGACACGTGCGAGAGTTTGGGTGTGTTTTGCCGAAGTTAGCCTGGATCCTCATGCAGACACTGGCGCTTAGAGTCCCTGGAAATAAGAGTCTGGCCAATGTTTAATCTGAAACAAAATGGCGTCGATAGTTACTATATATATCGTATTCTTTATCGTATAAGGCCGATTTTCTTATATCTCCCGATAGCTATTCTTTGAAGAAATATATAAAAATATATATTGTATCTTATCTGAAGCTTATTCAGAAGTGGAGAAAGTGGACATAAAACCTATGATAGAAAAATAGGTATGTACAGACACTGTGCAACAAAAAATGACATTCTAACCTTCTGTTAGCAATTTGATAGAATAATTGCAAATTTATTTATGTGTTTGTTTTGCAGAAAATGACTGGTTGTTGCGTGGTTGGCTGTTTCAATAGTAGTGAAAAAGGTAAATCTATGAGACGTTTTCCTACAAATGTAGAACGGCAAAAATTATGGATAAAACAAATTGGAAGAAAAAATTGGCAACCATCGCAGTCTTCCTGTATTTGTGAAGTAAGTATAAAGTGTACTGATTA